CCACAGTCCCGTTTACACCACCAACACCACACCCACAGTCCCGTTTAAACCACCTACACCATTCCGACAGTCCCGTTTACACCACTCCGACAGTCCCGTTTACACCACTAACACCACACCGACAGTCCCGTTTACACCACCAACACCACACCGACAGTCCCGTTTACACCACCAACACCACACCCACAGTCCCGTTTACACACCCACAGTCCCGTTTACACCACCAACACCACACCCACAGTCCCGTTTACACCACCAACACCACACCGACAGTCCTGTTTACACCACACCGATAGTCCCGTTTACACCACCAACACCACACCGACAGTCCCGTTTACACCACTAATACTACACCGACAGTCCCGTTTACACCACTAATACTACACTGACATTCATGTTTACACCACCAACACCACACCGACAGTCCCGTTTACACCACTATTACTACACTGACATTCATGTTTACCGATTCCTTTGTGCGGTTCAGGAGGACACGAGGCGAACTTGAGCACGTCGGCTCTTTTCTCCCTTAGACCCCATCGGTACAGGATTTCACCGTAACACTTCTTGAAGTCGTCGAACTGCAGCGTGTTTGCAGGGTCCAGCAGTCTGTGGAGAGAGACAGGAAATGACATCACGGTGACATCACAAACCAGTCAGTCCCACCCTGTTCTCCCACCGTCTCCTCACCTCTTGTTCATGTCGTGCTGCTCTCGCTCCCGTTCCCGCGGGTCGGTGTGACCCTGGTTGCCATGGCGATAGTCGTCAGGGGAGGACTCTCCCCAGGGCTCAGAGTCTCGACCTGCAAAACGACAACAAAGCATCCAGTCTAAAAGCAGCGCTGTGAGGGCGTGGCCTGGATGTGGGCGGGGCTTACCTGCGGTCCAGGTGGTGATGGAGTCAGAGGTGCTGGAGCATGAGCCCGAGGTGACGGAGCCGGACGTGTAGCTGGGCTGAGGGATGACACGCACACATTATGACATCACTTCCTGTTCAGTATCGAGGATTCACGCTAGCAGTGTTCGTGCTAAGCTAGGCTAACGTGATGGCGGTGAGCAGGACGTACGTATCGGGAGTGGTTGGAGGAGAAGACGGAGGAGCGAGCCGGATGAAGTCCATACAGGGAGAAGGAGTCTGGAGGCGGAGCCTGAGCTCTGAACACGCTGCACAGCATCGCCAGAGTCTGAATGTCACTCATGTGGCTGTAGTGGTCCAAGCTACACACACACACACACACACACACTCCTGTGTGATCCTCAAAGTACATATAATATATACTGTATATACATCGCTCTGATTAAAGGAAAGAAACAAACTCACAGAGTCTCCAGCAGGTGGCGTCCAAACGGGTGTCTGGCCCAGGGGGTCTCTGTGTCCGGGTCCGAGTCTGGACTCAGGTCCTGGCTGGTGGCTGCAGAGGCCAGAGCCCAGACCTGCAGAGACACCAGAGGACGGATCCTCAATACGTTATCAGGTCAGAGCTCTTTATGACGTGGTCACATTCATCACTAACTCAGAAGTTATTATAAATACACACAGGTTTTACACCTTTAGACACAAACAACACTGGAGCTTCAGCTCTTTATTTTTATTTCTGTTTTATTTATTTTTAACTTTTATTTATTTCTTAGTTTATTTTTATCGACTGTCTCACTGAGCTTTCTGTTATATTATATATATTTTTTATTTCCTTGTTTTTGCTGCTTTGTCTGTCAAAGCATTTTGTAAACTCTGTTTTTATAAATAAAGTTATTATTATTATTAAAGATTGTAAACTTCATTAGTTTGACTGAGTACAGAATGTATCGATTACATTAATATGTATTAAACGTGTGTCTGTACCTTTAAGAACCTTCGGCACTCTCAGAGGCTCGTTAGCATAGCGACGCTACTTTAGGACCGATAACAACAAACGGTTACCTTGGCGACGTCTCTGCGTCCGACCGTGAGCGACGCCGCCGCGTTCTTCTGACACGTCTCCTGGATGTCCTTCATGTTCAGACTGAGACAGAAAGACATTTAGAAACTACACATACTGCACTAATGATGTGGTGTTTTATTTTGAAGGGCAGAGCCTCCTTCCTGTGTCCCTCACATGTATCCGTCTCCCAGAGATTTGTGGACCGGCAGAAGACACGAGATCTCCTGAACGATCACTTTACCAGCAAGCTTGATGGTTCGACTCCCAAAGTCCTCTCGCTTAGTCTTGAACCGCCGGGACTTCTGATGGACAGACAGAGAGACACAGACACACACAGACAGACAGACAGAGAGACACAGACACACACACAGAGAGACACAGACAGACACACAGAGAGACAGACAGACAGCAGGCCAAAGGGGAGACAAAGCACCACCTGATTAAAAGTGGTGTTGATGATAAATTATAAATATAGAGACGGTTCACACAGCGAGACACTGACTGATGGACACATCCTGGGTTCATCCTCTGGAGACTATGAATCTCCTTCATACATAATACTGAATGGAGTTCAAAGGACAAACAAAGTTTTAAAGGTACTCTGTGTAACAGAGTATTAATACCTTTGACTCTCCTCAGCTCCGCTAACGTAGCAAACACAGTCTTCAGTGGAATTCATTCACGTTTAGTGGTTTACAAATTATATACACATATACACATACATATATATATACACATACACACAT